AGTTTCAGTTTTTTGGTTTTCCAGTTTTTTTTTTTCAAGGTTTCGTAACGGAAATGCAAAAGTAGACGGAAGTGCAAGTTGTGCAAGAAACTCGGTTGCCAACTTGCCTTGCCTTAACTCTAACTACAAACATACCAGCGACAGTTAACCCCTCAACGCCTCCCACCTATGTTGATCCAAAATGAGGCTCAAAATTAAATGCTTCCACATGAAAATAAAATAAATAAAAGGAAAGAAGAAATTCAAACAATTTTCTTGTCTTTTGCCTGGTGGCATTTTGACATTTTATTGCATACATTTTGGCTCATCGTTCATTCTACCCCCTCAGATCCTATGCACATCCCTCAGCAAAACTTTGTGGCGAGACCGTGTCCAATTTGGCACATCATTTAGTAGACGGGCTCTTGATGATTACCGTGCCTCGAATCCCCTTCTTTGACTTGCTGGCCACTTGTCACCTTCGCTGACATTGACGTCCATTAATCAATCAAGTGACATTGTCGAGTGCCTGCTACAACGGAAGCGAGGGGGTCATTTGGGGTGAGTTGAGGCGGGCATTTAGCAATACACAGCGAGACAATTAACAATAAGTTGCCGTTGTTGACCTCGATGTGCTTCGTTCTTAATGAGATGAACGCTAGAAGTTTTCTGATTTTTTGTTGAGTTCAAGCTTTTCTTTTTGTTATTTTTCCAAGCTAAAAAGATTGTAGCGATGGGCTGTGTTGTTAACTTCATGCAGAGTCGTCGTGTAAATATTTAATAGGGAGTTGCTTATCTGTTATTGTTTTGAATTGTGTAAGAGATTAAGAAACTTATTAAAGCATCCTTATAATATTGTTTATAAAAGTATCAGCACTGAAATTCCCAATGAGAGTTTAAAAAAATCGTTGTCTTTTGTGAGTGTTTTTGAGAAAAGGCTTAAAATCTAATATATTAAAGTAACTTTTATATTTACTCATATATAATTAGTCATTAATAAGTTAATTAAGAGAAAATTAATTACTATGTTTTTATAAAATAATTATTATTTAATTTATTTATATTAAAGTACAGAAGTTTGTAAATTTGTAATTAGGAAACGGCACTACTGAAGTTCTATATAAGAACCTTAAGCAACATTGTCTTCATTAAATGTTTTTTTTTTTTTGAGAGATATTAATATAATACTTCACCTTGTTAATAATATATAATTTACCTAGATTTAATCTGCAATATTTATGATATTGTAAATTTAAGCGATAAGTTGTAAAACATTGCTGTATCTTAAAATTTCAAACTTGCCGGCTAGCATGACTCAACTGTTTTGCTCTTTTGCTTGCCACAAAATATTTCAACTCACTTTGCGAAATCCCCAAGAGCTGCGCGAGTGTAATAGATACACCTTACCCCACCACGCCTCACCTCAGACCCCCACGTTGAACCACGCGCCACTGTGGCATCATCAACGTCGCTTCATTAGCTGCGCTCGCTGCAAAGGCCAATGCCAAAAGGTGTAAAACAAAAAGAACATAAGCTAAGCATAAAACAGAGAGAGAGAGAGAGAGCAAAATAATCGAGAAAAAGAAGCTGCTACTCATAGACAATATAAAAAAGAAAAACGAAGAAAGAAAAAACATAAGCAGACGCACTACCAACTTACCAATACAAAAAGAAAAAGTTGCAAAAAGTAGTAATAACAGCAACAAAAGGAAAAGCAACTGTTACAACAACAACAAAATGTTGGGCAGCAGCAACTTGACTCTTCTTTCTGGCACTGCTTCTGCTGCTGCTGCCTGTGGCTGATTGATCTCGTGGGAAATTTTGCACAGTTGCCGCAACAGCAGCCAACAACAACAAAAAGTAAAATAAAACTCAACTTTTTTGTTATTTGCTATTCTCTGTCACACTCTCTAGGTCACTCTCTCTCTCTCTCTTTCGCTCAGCACCTGCTCTATGATTATTTTGCCGCGGCATCTGCTTTGGGCTCGTCTTCAGCTACAGCTTCAGCTTCAGTACGAAAATTAACTTAATGTCACTTACACTTTAGTGCTTTGGGTTAATTTGGTTAGATTATTGTTAATATCCTTTGGGGTGCTCTCTGTGCTCGCTTAGCAAGTGTGACTGTCCCTGTCTCTCTCTCTCTCTCTCTTGCTATCTATCTAACTGTACTTGGGTGTGCGTGTGTGTTGCGTGTGGCAACTCTTGGCCTCTGGGCACATTAATCGCTGCGGCAGTTGTAAACTTTTCGGCATAAAAATGATGCATTGCTTTTCTTATTACTTGGAAATTGTTTTTGTGTCGCCTAAGAGAGAACTCTCACAAATTCAGAACTTAATGGCAGAGCAGCTTCTGGCTTTAAGTCTAAAATAATTCAGGTCTATCACATAATTCTTATTTTTATATTTATAAGCATAAGAAATTTAATTTTATAATAATTCAGGTCCATTAAGATAATAATTATGTGTAAATTGGTAAGAAAAGTAAATTTAAATCTCTTTTATTATTTGTTTCATTTTCATTTTATTTATTAAATTAAAACTAAGCTAAATGTTTATTTTCAGGAAACACCAAATGTTAGTTTATTCAACTTCTTACTATTTCCAAGTTGAAGGTTATTTATTATTTATTATTCAGTTTTCTGTGAATAATGTTTTAGAGTTTCTTTGTATTTTATGGCATTGAAATAAAGGAATTGTACGATTGATAATTTGGTTTGATTTCCAAACGCAAAAGTTGAAGTGTGAGAGAGCAGAGAGAGCACAGCAGCCACAAATTTGATGTCCATCATAAGTGGCCATTAGTCAAATGTCAAAAATGTCGCCATCAAAGCTACCTGTATACTGATACTAATGGCATCAAGGTCCATAGATCAAGGACGCTTATTTCAGTGTAAATATTTTTTTACACACATATTTACATAATGCAGACATTGTTGGCCCCCCGCCGCAGTCACTCCCTATTGCCACCATTTATTCAGAAACTGACTTTGCGGCTAATGCAGATGGCAGGCGAAGCGAAGCGTAAAATGCTTTGTAAATTATTATAGAGAAACAACAAGTCCCCAGTCACCTTGGTATGAGAAGAGGGACAGATCTAAATTCAAGGAACTGGAGCAGGGGCCATCAGTAATATATAAATATTTTTGCAGATAAGCAAGCTGTGCGTATATGCGTAATAAATTTCAATTGACTTCTTGAAAATGGGGTGAAGGTTTTCCATTTGCCGCATTCCTAACAGAGCATGTTTAAACATGAGCTTAAGACACTTGCAAATTCACACAGTGCGTTCAACTCGAAACATTTTTGCCGTTAAACTAATTTAACTGACACCTCCGCACTCCACACTCTCCAAAAGTCGCACCTGCTATCTCTCTGCACCCAATTAGAAATATAATCAAGAGAGCAGCCAATTCAAAATGCATATTTCATTTGGAGGCTTTGTCACCGCATTGACAATAAAAACATAATTTTTACGACACTCGTCAGGTGAACACATACTGAAATTCCACACACACACACTCTCTCTTTCATGTCTTTATAAATTATGCTTTAATTTGTATGCATGCTGTGGGGGCAGGAAATTGACACGAAGAGATGGGGGAGGGCACACTTTACTTGGCACCTGTAATAATTATATTAAGCATATTAAAACTGATTTCTGTGTTCATAAAAGTGAGAACTAAAGACTAAACATAAAGGATTTGCCGGCATTTAAGGTGATGATGTTTATGAAGTGAGTTTTAGCAGGGAAAATCTCTCCTAATTCAGCCATTTAATTGTTTTCGCTGGTTAGCTCATAATAACTAATAGTCTCGACTCGTTAACGTATAATTTGCAATTAATAGCAATTATTTGAAATATCTGTGTGTATAAAAATGTGTATGAAAATGGGATAATAAATTTAAAAAGCTTTCGAATATTTAAAACGAAATTATTATGGAAAGTATTGCGTATTTAATATATATTATAAATATTTGATTTTAATTAATTATTTAATGAATTATTTTAAAAGAGGTCTTAGCAATATTTTAAATTAAATGAAGTATTTAAAACAGTTTTGACTGATAAAACGGATTCTTCTGAAATGAGACTAAGCTTCAGAATATTTAATATAAGATCAAAAATTGTAAATGTGAACAGCCATTGAAAAATATTGAAATTTGAAATTTTTGTTGTTATATTTAATATTTATTACATTTTTAATACGCATGTAATCTTTTAAAATATTCTCAATTTAAACCAAATTAGCTAAGGTTATTCTTTTAAATATTAAATTAAAGATTTGACAATTTACCGTTAAGTATTCAAAATTAAGGCTCTACTCAGGCAGCAATTCGCGAAATTTCCCAGTATTTTTATAAGTTTTTTGGGACAATTGAAACCTTGTCTGAAATGCCAACGTTCATAACGTGGGGAATTTGTATATATCATTTGTTGTGCCTTTATTAATAATTAATTTCAATAATAATTGTTTCTGTTGATATTAAGCAATAGTTGTCCTTAATCAACAATTAACCAACTACGCATATGATCAATGACATTAGCTTGGATCCAATATAAAACAAATTGAAAAATTGCATAGAAAATTCTGTTAAAATGCTTAATAATATATATGAGATATACATTTAAATGAACGTATATATATATTTATAATCAATCTGATAATAATGCATTTACAATTACTACACTAGATTCCGAACATAAATGTACCTGTTACTTTAACATTTAATGTTAATGTTAAAATATCCCATGCTCATCATTCTCACTCTCTCTCTCTCTCTCTTGCAGTACGAAAACAATTGCTCATAGCTTACGCTCCTCGAGGAGCTGCCTTTCGTTAAGTAGACTCGCCCGCCCAAAACGAAAGCGAACCGAACCGAGCCGAATGGCCGAGAGAATAACGCGACGACGAACAGGACGATATAAAATTCCTTTCTGGGGTGATGCTAGCGACGATGACGAGAAAAATCAGCAGTTGAGCAGTTCCATTGATAACGTGCTACGAACTGGATCTACCCCAGGCGAGCAAGGCAACGCACGCAGCACACGAAGCTGTCGCCGCTACGTACAAATAACAACAATAACAATAAGCGAAAGAACAGCAACAATAACAGCAACAACAACCATTGTGCGATATAACGTACCTCGAGCACAGGCGGCGTATGAGTGATGTGGAGTCCGTTGCTGCTGCTGCTGCTTCTAGTGCATTTTTCATAAATTTCAGTAGCTTCGTTCGATGTTGCTCGTCAGTGTTTCTTTGGTATCCTTTTGTTTGCCAGTACGCGACGCGTGTGTTTAATTATTACTGCCTTTGTGTGTATGTGTGCATGTGTGTGTCATAGGGAAGCAGCAACGAACTCGTGTAACAGGAACTTCAAGCAGGAACTCCGAAATAAAAGATTGCGTGCTTGAAACAATTTTCTAATGTGCCAGTGTCAGAAGCTGCAATTAATTGGCTAATGGATTCGAGCTTAAACAATTTACAAACACAAATTACTGATAAATAATCAGGTATGTGAAATATACAAGTGGGTTTTAAGCTTGCTTGCCATTCGTAAGATGAATATATTATAAAATCAAATTGAATAATTTTCCCTAAAGTCTCATCTTACACTACTAGCCATTTTCATCAAAGAAATTCCTATAAAATTCAATTTCATATTTTCCCTTAGGCATTATTTGGCAAAGAGTTTTACTATCACAATCCCTGATAAATATAATTGCTGTTTAGGCCACTTCCTGATGTACAGCTACAGTTTTGAGCATTTTAATTAAGTTTCTGTTTGTTACACAGTCTGTGGCCCAAGGCTACCAGAAAATGTGTTTGATTTCAAATGATAACCATATTTTTACCACAAGAAATGTTCTTCAATATGTATACCATAATAAGCCACTTATAAATATATTTAAATAATATATTTAATAATAGTTGCAAGGAATCTCACATAAATTCAGCAAAAATTACGGATTATTTTACAAATGGAAGGCCAGTTGAACGTTGTTATTTAAGCGATTGCTAAAATAACTGTTTGCAAACAATAAATAACAATAAATATAACGTGCATTGGCTGAAGTCATATTTCAATTTGTTGTTAATTTAATTCTACACGCACTTTTCTACCTATTATTTTTATTTTTTAATGTGCGCTCATCAATCCAAACAATTTGAGGCTCGTGCTGAATTTCAATTAAACTCCTATTAAAATTTCATTAAACAGAGCAGCGCCCACAAAACGGCCACTAATTAGTTTGGCCACACCCAGGCCGAAACACTGCCCGCAAACAAAATTGACCTTCAACTGGGAGCGAGGCCAACACTCTTAAATATTTTCTTGTATATAGGCCACAACAGGCAGACGGCCTAATTAAACTTGAGGCCAAGGATGAGCAAATGTTTTTAGTGAAGACAAAAAACAAAAAAAATAAATAAAAATAAATAAATAAAAAGTAGAAAAAAGGACAAAAAAATCGGTTATTTTCATTTAATGTGTCGACATTTTCGCTTAGCCTGTATATTAAGGGTGGTAAATGGGAGGTGGTAGGTGACAGCAACCACGGTTTCTCCTCACCCAGTTTGACCTCTGGCGCTGATATTTTTATTTTTGCTAATTTACGTATTTCTTTGTGCTCGGCTTGGGTCGGCTCTGTGGCCCTCATAATTTACATGGGGGCCAAATGTTTTATTTGTTTTTGTTGTTGTTTGCTGTTGTTTTGCGAGCCAGCGAACTTTTTGCTGCCAGCCTCTGATTTGTTTTTGCATGTGTAAATGTATTTGTGTGCTGTCGTCCAGTTGGCGTCACATATATTTTTATATACAAGTATTTGCCTCCTTCTCTCCCAAGTCCCATCACTTTCTCTATTCCTCTTTCCATTTGTCTGACAGCGACTTAATGAGCTGCGGAAGTTAATGTGCAGCATTTTGTTGTTGCTCTACGTTTTGCTCGCAAATTCATTTGCATATTTGGGTTAATTCTGTTTCAACTTTATACCAAATACACACACACACACACACAAACACTGAATGACTGGCATTTTTATGCCGAGTACCCATTAAAAACTGTGTCTAAGGAAAGAGTATAGTTTATGTGTGTCAATGTAATGTAATAGAGAGATTTAGATATCTTAGATGCCATTCTTGTTGGGGATCAAAAGCTAAGACTTTAAATTATATTGTCTGTCCTAAAGCACCATATTCGTCTGCAATAAGGGTATTTATCTTCGGTACCCCAAAGATTACTCTTACTCCCCGTTAAGCTGCTATGCCAGTTGGCTTAATCAACATGCCATATCATTTGTCATGCTCCAAGCAAGTCTGAAAAAAAATGCTATTCTTTCTAAGATATTAAATTGTTTGAAAGTCTGCGGAAACAAATATTATAATTGTATCTCTGAATATTTAAAAATTTCTGCAGAAATGTGTGGAAATGTGCGCTTAGATTTGTATTTTCGTTTATTCCGGATACGTATAGAAATGAAAAATGGTTTTTCTTTTATATATTTTTGGTTTCATCATATTTTGCTTAACATTTTCTTTCTGCTTGAAAATGCAGCTCTCAAATGAACGTCTTGAAATCTCCATTTATATAACATGTGCGTCTCGAGTGCTAAGTCTGATGTATCATTTTAAATACACATACTTTAAGAATAAAAGAAAAGTCTTTTCAGTGATAACTGTGACAGTGTGACAAGTAGCCCACTCAGAGCTCAACTGAACAGAATCACTACAAGTAATATCCACAAAAATAGTTGAATATCTGCGATGCAGTTAGAAGAAGTTTAAATACCCTTGCAGTTACTTACCAAATTTATAATTTAATTTTCATATCTGAAGATCTAAGATATTGCACAAAGGCAGGAGAAGGTTACAAATTTAGGATAATTGAGCAGAGTTAAATTTTTTTGGGCTGCGAGCTAAATTTACAATGAAGCTCAAATGATAACCTTCTATAAATAAACAAAATAAATACATAATTTCATAAGAAATTTTGTGAATGCATTACAAGTCTTGCGTCTAAAGAAAAGAACTCACTGTCGTGGAAATAAAAAGCAAAAAAAAAAAGTAAATCAAAGGAGTGCGACTGACTTTTGTGTGTCCACAATGGAAACCCAAACGTGGCTTCCCCACAATGTCCTAGCATATGTGTAAATACACAAAGACACACACTCACACACACACTCTCTCACACACACAATCAATAGCGAAAAATTCGTTGTATAAACACGTCGCCGAACGTCCAAAATACAACATGAGGAAATCTGTAAGTGAGCAAATGTTTTTTGCGCAGAACCCTTTAATCAAAGCTGCTGCGATTTCGTCTACAACTTGATATTCGTTTCGTTTTGGCAACTATTGAGAACATTATATATATATAAGCCGAGAGAACTCAAGTACGTTGCTGTATTTTTTTGGTGTGTATTTTGTCCATTTGTATGCTCAAGTTCATTAGCGTCAGTTGGCAAATATTTACCACAGTTGCCAATCTCGTTACTCTCTTCTGTTGCCTTTTACTTGACTTTGGCTGCAAGCAACAAACATCATTAAATTTAATTTGTTGCCAATATTGATTGAACACATAAAGGTCTGTGATGCTGTGTGTGTGTGCCGACGGTGTGCATGAGTTGCCATCTAAAGTAGTCGTTAGTTTTCCTTTTAAAAACAAACATATGAGCCAATGAATAATTTTGCTTCTTTAGTTAGAAATAAAATGAGCAACTCAGAAGTCATTGTGTTTATATAACTAGAACAGAATACCAATCACTAATAGGATTTAATAATAATACAAGGTTCTTCTGATATCAACACAATATTCTAAAATCTTGAATGCATTCTTAAATTACTCACATAATTCTCATTTTTTGATCTTATATTACCCACAACACCAGAAGAACATTTGGTTTTTCTTATTATGCACTCAACCATCTACTCTCAAACAATGAATATATATTTTAGGATATCAATCAAATTTAAATAGCCAAACTAAGACTCGCAGTAGCAAATAACTAAAAAATATTTGTTGGTTTCTTTACTGACACCATGATGAATCATCTATTGTCGCTTCCAATACATCGTTTTTTTTTTTTTTTTTTGAGGAATAGTTTTTTTTTTATAGTTTTACTATTTTGAAAAATTCAGCAAGCATATCTATTGATTGATTATTAATACGAATATATTGATATATCCTTGATAAGAATTAAGGCAGGGCTATAATGTTTGTACAAAAAAAGGGAATAAAAATTGTAAAATAAATGATTTATAAGCCGGAATGCGAAGTTTCCGTAATATTCTTTTTGTATGTTATTCAAACATTTACTTTGTGAGTGTTTCAATAAGCTATTTACAGGATTGCAATGGATTCTTATAATGCTTATCACGCTGACAATTGCAATTAAGCTCTTCCAAACGATTCTTAATATGATCGAGAATCTCTGTAATATTAATCTTTTTCAAGTCCTCTGATCGTAATAGTTTGCACTCTTCACAAACATGCCAGAGTTTCATTCTTGCGATCAGATCCGCACAGAAGCTGTTCTCATTAGAATGCACACTGCGTATGCGTAACTCTTGATGTGTTGATGTAAAAATGTATGATTATTATGTGTAAATAAATAAGCACTTGAATGACTCACTTGATTCCGTGGACTTTAGTTGGTTTTTCTTTCGATAATTAATCTCACTCTCAGCCGTAAATTCCCGTGCGACATCATATTCACGAAGTCCATAGACTTTGGTCTCAATATTCCAAGTGTGACTGAAACCCGGATATGGCACAGAAGTCCAATAAGCAGAATCTAAGAACTGATGACGCATTTGTGCTTGGAAACTTTTGGCCGTCGCATACTTGTTGGCCATATATCGATTGTATAATCGATAGGACAGACTCGTAACGAGGGCATCAACTTTTGTGCGAAGACTAAGTGAAGATATGAATCAAGATTAAGAATTTTGAGTATTTTTCAATACGCTTAAATATCATTCGAAAGGCATTGGTTTAATTCAAGCAGTGTCATAAGAAATTACTCATAGCACACTTACTGATCTTCGCAAAAATCGTAATATCCTGGCAGTAATGCGCTCCGATGCAAGGAATGTAGCTTAAGTGCACAATCGTTTAATACATTCTCGAGGCAATTAAATTGCATATTCTTTAAATAGAGCATGTTATTGATGTATTTACGCGACCACCAGCCACGAAATAATTTTTGAATCTTCAGAGAGCTATCATTGAACATGTCCACAATGGTGGTCTGCGTATGTATCTGAGCCATGAGTGCAAAATGTCGCATGGCAGTAAAACTCCGCCAGGATCTTTGAATCACAATCGCAGCATGGCGCTGCTTCTCTATTAAATGGCGCACTTGCCACCCCCGATAAAATCTTTGAATGCTGCGTGCCGCCTTGAACTGCTTGTAATCGAGAAGCAGCAACTGGGTACTAAGGTTCGATCGGCGGTATTAATTCATTAAATACTTTACATGAGTTGCAAATGCTATTGAACTTACCGCATTAAATGTTGATCTAAGGCAGGTGAGCACTCCTCGCTAGCCTCATCTAATTGTTGACTCATAGTCGAATAATCCGAGTTAAACGGGGCACGTACGTTCCACATTTTGCGACAGAGAGTATTTTTGTTGTGTGTGGCTTGTTGTGCTCAACTGTTAACAGTATTTACTCTGTTTTATGTACATTCAAAGACTTTTAAGTCAAGGTAATTGGATTCGAATCCAAATTTGTACGTATTCTGTATACCAATTTTTGTATGTGCTTTGCCAGAATTATTTTTAAAATATGAGAACATATACATTTTTACTTTAGCGATTATAAATACAGATTTACCTAAATATGGAAATATTCAATTTACAAAAATATCCAACAAATTTATCCATCATAAAGTATAAGAGAGGAGAAAATCTTAAGCCATTAACTTATTATTCTTTGCAATTAAAAACTACAAAGATTTATATAAATTCATATAAATGCAAGTTTATATATGTATATTTACATATGTGTATATATGTTAAGATATGTATCTGTGAGTATACATATCTTAAAAACTTCGGATATGTTCTCTTTGGGGCGATGTAAATTAAATTTCGTTCTTACTTGAAATTCTTGTTGAATATCGCAGTTCAGCTCCTTGGAGAGGACACTGCAACTGCCGGCAGATATGGAGGAGCACGAGCACCGTGAGTTTAATTCATTTTTAATGCCATCGCCTGGGCGTCATCTTGAAACTGTGCTCGAGGAGACTGGCTCTCAACTTTTGCGCTGACCAGGGTACACAGTAGCAGTAGTAGTAGTGGCAAAGGAGAAAGGTGGTGTGGGTGGAAATACATTCAGCATACCACAAAAGCGGAAATCAAAAGTTAAAATAAACTGCGTTGTCGTCGTTGGCATCGGCGGCGTCTGGTTGTCCTTTGTGGCAGTTGCAATTGCAGCTGCCTGCTTATAAAGTTGCCGGATATCCGGTTGTTGTCTTCGCTCATTTTTCGCCATCTTTGCACTGACGTCCGCATCCGTCCGTCCGCGCGTCCACAAGTCCGCGCGTTCACGACTCGGCGTATCCTCGAGTCTGGGTCCTTATGCACGCGCCACTCTCCAATACCGCAACCATTTGTTCACTCCACAAGGCTCAGTCCATTGTTGTCGTCGCTGTGTTGCTCCGCTCGTAGTTTTGCTTAATGTTTCATTTATTTATATTTTAGCAAGGACTGCACGGGCCGTGGACCGTTCCGAGTCCTGGATACCATTGTAAGTCCCACACTATTGCCGTTGTTTCTGTTGTGTTTTTACTATTTGACGCTTGTTTACTCATTTCCGTTTGCAGCTTACATTGCAATCCTGCCCCCAGCTCAGTTTTTTGGCACCCCTGACACTCCATTGCATTGCGTAATGTCCTCGAGCGAATTGTCTGGAACTTAATACTGAATTATTGTATAGGTTGCTGCAAATTCTATAGAGAACAGCAACTTGGTTGTTTTGTCTTAGAGTACAAAAAGTTTTCTGATATCTTACTTTGAAAATCAGGAATTCATTTAGTTAAGAGACGTCCAAAATATTCTTAAATAATTGCTTTCATTTGGTTTAAGTAGTTATAAATTTTATTATTAAATGACTCAAAATATAAATGAAATATAAAAATATAAAAAAAATTATCTCATATTCAAACTAATTCTGAATCATACCTAAAAGCCGTAACTAATGTAAAGTTTTCATTATTATTTATGTAATAAAAAATTGTCTATATTAGATCTTACTAAATGGAACACTAAAAACAACAGCTGATTTAAAAATTTGTACTATTAACTCCACAAATTCTCACAGTATTCAACTGAAAATCAACTATCTCAGTTGCAAGGCCAAAGTTTTGGGCTAAAGTTTTTCGATTTGCCAATGCGGCAATTGCTTTTAATTTGCCTCAAGGCAAAAGCAATCAATCAATATTCATCAAAATGCGATTTAATTTGAATGCAAACCCACTGTTCGACTATCCCCCACCCCTTTCGCCCGCAGCCTGTGAAACTTGTTTGACTCACAAAACTTATCGATGTTGCGAACTTTGCAAAAGTCGCCGACAAAGCAGGCGTTGAGGATGTGACCGGGAACTTCGACACTCGAGGATCAGGTCGAGAAAGTGCCGAAGCACAACTAACGAGCACCTGTGACAGCTTCAAGTATCTGCTCAACAACAACAACAACAACAAAAACTACAACTTGATTTGGCAACTGGAAGTTGGCCAAGGTATCTTACCAGGCTGACTAAGAAAAAGTGTTTACCGCGTTTTCTCAGACGTTGCTCTAATTGAGCGAATTTCGATTTGCATACTTTTTACTCGTGGTCTTAATATACATAAATATGCGTATGCATGTGTGACTGAACTACATTCTAGGCCATCTGATTTTAGTTCTATAAGGATTTCAAATAGGGGTAGAAGGGGTAGTACCTGCAGGGGTATATGTCTCTTCAATATTTGTGCATCTAAAATATAAATTCCAATTGATTCCAACCTAACCTTTCAAGGTTATATAGATGATTCGTATAAATAAAATAATAAAAATAATAAAATTATAAAGAAAACAAATATTTAAAAAAATATATCATTGGAAATTTTTAAACAATATTGTAATGTCCTATTATGTTAATTACGTTCAATAGCAAAATTTATTCGTTATTTGCTTAAGTTCTTGTGAATTTCTTAAAAATGAAATTCCAACTTATGTCTAAGCTGCTTGCTCACATAATGTTTTTCAAATGTTGCTTTCATATTCTCCTTATTTATAAGCCGCTTAGACTCTGAGACAGCATTCAGAGAATTTAGTAGAGACAATAAAAAAATATATAAAAAAATGAACGTGAAACTAAATTTAAGAATTTTCTCATTTGCTCTCAAGTCTTTTCAGCAATTGCTTTTAATATTATTTTTTGCAGGCCAGCCAGACTAATATAAATTTTATGCTCTATGCAGACACCTTAAATATAAAGCAGCAAGCTGCAGAGAGTTGGTAAAGGAATGGGGGGACAGTTGGGGAGAGGAAGAGCACAGATAACAAAAATATTTTAAAGGCCACAAAAAGCATGTCCTTGTGTGGCAGGCTAAGGCCACTTAATGCACGCCAAAAGCAGTTCATGCGGCCCTGTGTATGGCACAGCTCATAAATACACACATGAACACACACACACATGAGCACACTCACACGCTGTCATCCTATAAGGACACATGTTTTGGTTTTACTGAGCCTGCTCGAAGGCATCTCTTCTGTTATACAGCGCCCCATGTGTTTGTCTATATGCTTGTAGTCCTGTTAATAATGCTTTTGATGTGTGCTAAAGACAGCCACAAACTATGCCATCTACTCGCTCTGCATCCAAACTATAAATCTGTTTTTGGGAATCGGCAGTTTTCGGGGGTATGTGGAGGAAATACTGGTTGCACTCGGCTGCTGTTAAAGCAGGCAAAGCTTCGCCCCTAACCTTAAAGTGTCCGCTGCAAATGCAATTTAAAAGCCGAAAATTTTGAAACAAGCAAATTGCGCAGAAAATGGAGTGGAAAAACAACAATTTGAAAAACATTTATTTCTCTTGGCTGTTGACTAGGCTTCAATAATTTGCTAGTTGCTGTCGCCTAAATTCAAATCCACAACGATTTGAGTTGAAGCCTCGATTTTAATTTGCCAAATTACGCATCAAGAGAACCACATAGTTAACCATGGCAATATCAGATTATCAACACATTTGCATTTAATGCGTTATCTTCCATATTATTACTCTACTATATACTATGTACAGCACTATGTCCGTGTTGTAAACACTTACAAGATATTCCTCGAAGAAAATGTTGATAAACCTTAAGTTCTCTTAACTCTTCCTTTCTTCCCATATGTCTCCAAAGGTTGTTAACTAATTCTCCATTTTATCATCACCCAAATCTAAAGAACAGCCCTCGCTTACCGCTTCCGCAGACTTTAGAATAGTCGCCGTGTCAATTTGATTTATGTATTACGTATACGCCACGCTGTTTATTTTTTTATAGCCTCCACTCGCACCTGAGCATCACACGCAGCTGAGCAATTACACCACCACCAACAACAACAACAACAACAGTGGCGACGCCTTAATGGCGCCAAAACAACAACAACAAAAATAAGAAAATAGCTGAAGCTAAGGCACAAAGAAACGTAGAAAAAGGAGCACACCGAAAAAGTAAGTCTATTAACGGCAATGACAAAGCACGCGAAAAGCTAATAGAATGACAGACCTGTAAAGTGCTTGTGTGCGTATTTTGGAGTGGGTAAGGGAAATGGGGCCGGCGTTTCAAAGGAAGGGAAACAAGTAGTTTGGCAAGTCTATAAAAATGTATTAACTGCTAGGTGGCCGAAAATAAAGTCATAAACACCAGAGACACCAGAGGTAGAGAGAGAGAGAGAGAGAGTTTTGGAGGGCGCTGGCAATGTGCGTATTATGATAATCAATGTGTGTATGTGTGAAATAGAGCACCAAAATATGGGCGTGTGAAATTTGGGCGAGGCGCTTGCTGAGAGATGATGCACACTCACAGAGGAGATCTCCTTGAGACCACAGCAAGTCCATTAAACCCTTATGATGCATGAGCGCAAATAAAGTGAGTGAGTGAAAGGCGCCAAACAATGAGTGTAGCGCAGCTTAAGAAAAAAGGGGATCAGAAAAATCAACACAGCAAAAAAATATAACAAAAAGCATAAGGGCGGGGGCAACATATGCCAAGCAGACTTAGGACGAAAAAAAAAAAACAAACAAGAGAATACACGAAAAACAAGAGCTGGGCAAAATTGTTACTAGGCATAGGCAATGTAGAAAAAGAGAACGAGAGATGGATAGAGAGAAAGCAGGACGACACAGTGCAGAAGGAATAGCCATAGGCAGAAGGTGTGATGAGACGAGTGGCCGAGAGGAGTGTGTGCGGGCGTGGTTAAGAGGTTGTGGCCCGCAAAGTGAGCAAACACTCGAGTCAAGTGTCTGGCTGGTTAAGACGATGGATGTGAGTGCGACGGTCTGCGAGTGTGAATGTGAATGGCGAATGCGAATGTTAATTCTGCGAGTGTGGAAAAGATAGTGAAAGTTCACTCAAGTGTAAGTGTGTGTATTTGTGTGTGCGGCGAAGAGCAGCAGCACTAAACAATA